TAATTAAGTTTATTTAGCCACAGGTTTACCTGGAGTTTACCTGGAGAGAGTTCCGGGGGTCAACGCCCCCGCGGCCCGGTCTGTGACCAGGTACACACAGATACAAATTATTATACATAGTAACAAATATTAATGAACCACTATGAAAGAGTAGTGAAATTCCAAGCGCTTTCGTGACTACTCACATTGTCAAGGAACAATGTCACCAACATAGTTCCTTGACAATGTGAGTAGTCACGAAAGCGCTTGGAATTTCACTACTCTTTCACAGTGGTTGTTTTGTGTATTTTAAAATCACCTGTTTACTGTGATCTTATTGCATAGTAGCAAATATTAATGAACCACGAAGCAAGTGGTATTAAATCATTTCCTAAACTGGTTAAGTGGTTAAGGCGATGTGAACATTGTTTTGTCTCTTGAGGAAGGAGAATCTGACGCAGGATCTAATCCCGGCTGGCCGAGTTTGGTAAATGATTCAATACCACTTGTTTCGTGGCTTCATTACTATTCATTACGGGAAGTGGTGGGAATTAACCTTGAGTTCACCTCTACCACGAGTATCCTCGGATCATGAACAGCACCTAGCTCTGCTGGGTGCTTGATTCTTGTAGGATAGCTGGTTAAGTGAATGTTGCTGTCTCTAGAGGTTTACCTGGAGTTTACCTGGAGAGAGTTCCGGGAGTCAACGCCCCCGCGGCCCGGTCTGTGACCAGGTGGGAGAATGTGACGCAGGATCTAATCCAGGCTGGCAGCAGTTTGGTAAATGATAGTGATATATGGTAGTAACATATGGTAGTAACATATGGTAGTAACATATGGTAGTAATATATGGTAGTAACATATGGTAGTAACATATGGTCCTTGATTTAGTTCCATTATCCATTAACTTTTATGGTTGTGGACAGGAAAGACCAGCTAGTGTGGTGGTAGCTAGGAAACACCAAACACTAGCTAGTTAAGGGGCCCCGTGGCCTGGTACCTAAAGCTTTCACTTCACACGACGAGTACCTGTGTTCGATTCCCAGCGAGGATAGAAACACTGGGCGTGTTTCCTTACACCGGTTGTCTATGTTCACCCATCAGTAAAATAGGTACCAGGGTGTTAGTGGACTGGTGTGGATCGCATCCTGGGTGTTAGTGGACTTGTGTGGGTCACACCTGGGTGTTAGTGGACTGGTGTGGGTCGCATCCTGGGTGTTAGTGGACTGGTGTGGGTCACATCCTGGGCGCTAGTGGACTGGTGTGGGTAGCATCCTGGGTGTTAGTGGACTGGTGTGGGTCGCATCCTGGGTGTTAGTGGACTGGTGTGGGTCGCATCCTGGGTGTTAGTGGACTGGTGTGGGTCGCATCCTGGGTGTTAGTGGACTGGTGTGGGTCGCATCCTGGGCGCTAGTGGACTGGTGTGGGTAGCATCCTGGATGTTAGTGGACTGGTGTGGGTCGCATCCTGGGTGTTAGTGGACTGGTGTGGGTCGCATCATGGGTGTTAGTGGACTGGTGTGGGTCGCATCCTGGGTGTTAGTGGACTGGTGTGGGTCACATCCTGGGTGTTAGTGGACTGGTGTGGGTCACATGCTGGGTGCTAGTAGACTGGTGTGGTCGCATCCTGGGTGTTAGTGGACTGGTGTGGGTCGCATCCTCAGTGTTAGTGGACTGGTGTGGGTCACATCCTGGGTGTTAGTGGACTGGTGTGGGTCACATCTTGGGTGTTAGTGGACTGGTGTGCGTCACATCCTGGGTGTTAGTGGACTGGTGTGGGTCACATCCTGGGTGCTAGTGGACTGGTGTGGGTCACATCCTGGTTGTTAGTGGACTGGTGTGGGTCACATCCTGGGTGTTAGTGGACTGGTGTGGGTCACATCCTGGGTGTTAGTGGACTGGTGTGGGTAACATCCTGGGTGTTAGTGGACTGGTGTGGGTCACATCCTGGGTGTTAGTGGACTGGTGTGGGTAACATCCTGGGTGTTAGTGGACTGGTGTGGGTCACATCCTGGGAGTTAGTGGACTGGTGTGGGTCACATCCTGGGTGTTAGTGGACTGGTGTGGGTCACATCCTGGGTGTTAGTGGACTGGTGTGGGTCACATCCTGGGTGTTAGTGGACTGGTGTGAGTCACATCCTGGGTGTTAGTGGACTGGTGTGGGTCACATCCTGGGACAAAACTGACCTAATTTGCGGGAAATGCTCAGCATAACAAGCAACTTTCTATATAGTAGTATGTTACTGATGTCAACTATGATCTGTATACCTTGTACATGTACTGGTATACCTTGTACATGTACTGGTATACCTTGTACATGTACTGGTATACCTTGTACATGTACTGGTATACCTTGTACATGTACTGGTATACCTTGTACATGTACTGGTATACCTTGTACATGTACTGGTATACCTTGTACATGTACTGGTATACCTTGCACATGTGCTGGTATACCTTGTACATGTACTGGTATACCTTGTACATGTACTGGTATACCTTGTACATGTACTGGTATACCTTGTACATGTACTGGTATACCTTGTACATGTACTGGTATACCTTGTACATGTACTGGTATACCTTGTACATGTACTGGTATACCTTGTACATGTACTGGTATTACCTTGTACATGTACTGGTATACCTTGTACATGTACTGGTATACCTTGTACATGTACTGGTATACCTTGTACATGTACTGGTATACCTTGTACATGTACTGGTATACCTTGTACATTGTGCTGGTATACCTTGTACATGTACTGGTATACCTTGTACATGTACTGGTATACCTTGTACATGTACTGGTATACTTGTACATGTACTGGTATACCTTGTACATGTACTGGTATACCTTGTACATGTACTGGTATACCTTGCACATGTACTGGTATACCTTGTACATGTACTGGTATACCTTGTACATGTACTGGTATACCTTGTACATGTACTGGTATACCTTGCACATGTACTGGTATACCTTGTACATGTACTGGTATACCTTGTACATGTACTGGTATACCTTGTACATGTACTGGTATACCTTGCACATGTACTGGTATACCTTGTACATGTACTGGTATACCTTGTACATGTACTGGTATACCTTGTACATGTACTGGTATACCTTGCACATGTACTGTATACCTTGTACATGTACTGGTATACCTTGTACATGTACTGGTATACCTTGTACATGTACTGGTATACTTGCACATGTACTGGTATACCTTGTACATGTACTGGTATACCTTGTACATGTACTGGTATACCTTGTACATGTATGGTATACCTTGCACATGTACTGGTATACCTTGTACATGTACTGGTATACCTTGTACATGTACTGGTATACCTTGTACATGTACTGGTATACCTTGTACATGTACTGGTATACCTTGTACATGTACTGGTATACCTTGCACATGTACTGGTATACCTTGTAGAAATAAACATATATTATTATTATTACTGTAGATTTTTAAGGTAAGCCGGTCAAGTCGTGCTATGCACATCTATATTGTGACTAAATTGGTTAAGAAGAATCGCTGACAATAATTTAATGGATGCCGCACAGGTAATGCTTCCATTGCAGATGCTGTGACCCTGAGACTGACTTAGAGTGTATCTGGAGTTTATCTGGAGAGAGTTCCGGGGGTCAACGCCCCCGCGGCCCGGTCTGTGACCAGGCCTCCTTAGGTCAGTGTCCCAGGATGCGACCCACACCAGTCGACTAACACCCAGGTACCCATTTTACTGATGGGGAACATAGACAACAGGTGGAAAGAAACACGTCCACCATCCACGGTATGATGTGTATTTTGTGGATATTGATTCAGGAGATTTTTTTGTGTTCATTTGTTTTTCTTAAATGAGGGTAACATCTTAGGTTAGCCAGGGGAGGCTTAAACACGTTGCGAAAAGTACAAAGTAGTGGTAGGTTCGCCGGGCTTGTCCTAGGCCCGGGTCTTTTCCAGATGGTGACTCGGCGAGACGCGCAAAGCGTCGTGGGTATCCAGATCTTTGCCGTTCCAGCATCCTCAAGCTATTCAACCTGTCTTCGAGGGTTTCTGCAATATCATTGGTCCTGAGTGACTCAGCACAGAATATCAGTATGGGCAGTGATTGGAACGTCTGGTGGTATGAGCCTCACTAAACTGATTGCTTAATATTGGATGACATGACATTTGAACGACTTCAGGAAAAATCCAGTGGCTGTTCCAGCGATTTCATTAGTTCAAGGTCCGTTAATAGCAGTTTTTTTCGTGCCTGCTGGAGTGCCATCATCCAGGAAGGAAACGTTTAGCTCGCTGATCAATCTGCCAGTGATGTTAGCCGTCATGCTAAAGAGACAAGTGGGCAGAGGATCTCTTTGTACAATGTCACTAAAGAAATGACTTTATGCTCTCCCAACAAGAAGATAAATCCTCATTGTATCCAGTTGAAATGAAGATACAGGGACTATGGAGGTACGAAGACACAGGGACTATGGAGGTACGAAGATACAGGGACTATGGAGGTACGAAGATACAGGGACTATGGAGGTACGAAAATACAGGGACTATGGAGGTACGAAGATACAGGGACTATGGAGGTACGAAGATACAGGGACTATGGAGGTACGAAGATACAGGGACTATGGAGGTACGAAGACACAGGGACTATGGAGTACGAAGATACAGGGACTATGGAGGTACGAAGATACAGGGACTATGGAGGTACGAAGATACAGGGACTATGGAGGTACGAAGATACAGGGACTATGGAGGTACGAAAATACAGGGACTATGGAGGTACGAAGATACAGGGACTATGGAGGTACGAAGATACAGGGACTATGGAGGTACGAAGATACAGGGACTATGGAGGTACGAAGATACAGGGACTATGGAGGTACGAAGATACAGGGACTATGGAGGTACGAAAATACAGGGACTATGGAGGTGTGTTCAAACTACAGTTAAAACCTCGCAGTAAACCTGTTTAAAATTAGTTTTAATATTCAGACATAATACTCACAGAATGAGTGGGACTGGAATCCATGGCAAGCCAGTCTTAAAACCAGCAGGTGAGGGTGTTGTCCACTGTACAATGCTGGTGCAGGATATGTAATTGTAGTATGAACTGCTGGTTCCCTGCCTTCACGAACCACAGAACCAGTCTGGGTGGTTTATGCATTATGGCCGTCCTCCTCTCTACGGATATTTGTTAAGGCCGCTTATAACAACGAGGGCAGACGGCGCCGTACATCCCTGGACGGCGTCATAGGCTAATGAACAGCGCCACGTACCGTCGGTTCCCGTCACACACACTGTTGTTTAGCGTCACACACTGTTGTTTAGCGTCACACACTGTTGTTTAGCGTCACACACTTGTTTAGCGTCACACACTTTTGAACTGCGTCACATATTATGTGACAGCGTCACACGTGCTGTCTAACGATGTATCACGCAATACTAGACAGCACAGTGTGAGACGTTACGTACTATTGGACAATGTTACGCTGTTTTACAGCGTCATGCATTGTTACAGTGTTACGTAGCGTCACAGGGTACTGCACAGTGTTACGATAAGTAACAAGCTGTAATATCGCGTCACGCAATCATATATGGCAACGTCAAGATTGTATTGTAGCGTTACATTCTATAGGTAGCGTCACACGTCATAAGTTAACGTCACACTTGATGAACCAGCATCACGCAGTTTAGATTACAGTAGCGTCACACAGTCTAAAATAGCGTCATATGTGAGCGTCACATAGCATACATAATCATTACACAGTTTACACGGGTGTCATAGCATAATCAGGCGTCACACAGCTATACAAGCGTCACAGTATATGCCAGCGTCACGCAGCATACACTAGCGTTACGGAGGTTACGCGAGTGTGTGACAACAGAAGTAACACGGGAGTGGAAGAAGAACAAGTCACCCCGACTGTGGTCAGTCACAGACTGACACTACACGGCACTCATGGCACTCATGGCACTCACGCACGCACACGTACACGCACACGTACACGCACGTACAAACACAATGTAACTTTCTGACCACCAGTCATGAATATATTAATCTCTACATAGTAGTAAATCTGTACACTGAATGGTAGTAAATCTGTACACTGAATGGTAGTAAATCTGTACACTGAATGGTAGTAAATCTGTACACTGAATGGTAGTAAATCTGTACACTGAATGGTAGTAAATCTGTACACTGAATGGTAGTAAATCTGTACACTGAATGGTAGTAAATCTGTACACTGAATGATAGTAAATCTGTCCACTGAATGGTAGTAAATCTGTCCACTGAATGGTAGTAAATCTGTATACTGAATGGTAGTAAATCTGTCCACTGAATGGTAGTAAATCTGTCCACTGAATGGTAGTAAATCTGTCCACTGAATGGTAGTAAATCTGTCCACTGAATGGTAGTAAATCTGTACACTGAATGGTAGTAAATCTGTACACTGAATGGTAGTAAATCTGTCCACTGAATGGTAGTAAATCTGTACACTGAATGGTAGTAAATCTGTCCACTGAATGGTAGTAAATCTGTACACTGAATGGTAGTAAATCTGTCCACTGAATGGTAGTAAATCTGTCCACTGAATGGTAGTAAATCTGTCCACTGAATGGTAGTAAATCTGTACACTGAATGGTAGTAAATCTGTACACTGAATGGTAGTAAATCTGTCCACTGAAGGGTAGTAAATCTGTACACTGAATGGTAGTAAATCTGTCCACTGAATGGTAGTAAATCTGTACACTGAATGGTAGTAAATCTGTACACTGAACGGTAGTAAATCTGTACACTGAATGGTAGTAAATCTGTACACTGAATGGTAGTAAATCTGTACACTGAATGGTAGTAAATCTGTACACTGAATGGTAGTAAATCTGTACACTGAATGGTAGTAAATCTGTACACTGAATGGTAGTAAATCTGTACACTGAATGGTAGTAAATCTGTACACTGAATGGTAGTAAATCTGTACACTGAATGGCAGTAAATCTGTCCACTGAATGGTAGTAAATCTGTACACTGAATGGTAGTAAATCTGTATACTGAATGGTAGTAAATCTGTATACTGAATGGTAGTAAATCTGTACACTGAATGGTAGTAAATCTGTACACTGAATGGCAGTAAATCTGTCCACTGAATGGCAGTAAATCTGTCCACTGAATGGTAGTAAATCTGTCCACTGAATGGTAGTAAATCTGTACACTGAATGGTAGTAAATCTGTACACTGAATGGTAGTAAATTTGTACACTGAATGGTAGTAAATCTGTACACCGAATGGTAGTGAATCTGTACACTGAATGGTAGCAAATCTGTACACTGAATGGTAGTAAATCTGTACACTGAATGGTAGCAAACCCGTACACTGAATGTTAGTAAATCTGTACACTGAATGGTAGTAAATCTGTACACTGAATGGTAGCAAATCTGTACACTGAATGGTAGTAAATCTGTACACTGAATGGTAGTAAATCTGTACACTGAATGGTAGTAAATCTGTACACTGAATGGTAGCAAACCCGTACACTGAATGTTAGTAAATCTGTACACTGAATGGTAGTAAATCTGTACACTGAATGGTAGTAAATCTGTACACCGAATGGTAGTGAATCTATACACTGAATGGTAGTAAATCTGTACACTGAATGGTAGTAAATCTGTACACTGAATGGTAGCAAATCTGTACACTGAATGGTAGTAAATCTGTACACCGAATGGTAGTGAATCTATACACTGAATGGTAGTAAATCTGTACACTGAATGGTAGTAAATCTGTACACTGAATGGTAGCAAATCTGTACACTGAATGGTAGTAAATCTGTACACTGAATGGTAGTAAATCTGTACACTGAATGGTAGTAAATCTGTACACTGAATGGTAGTAAATCTGTACACTGAATGGTAGTAAATCTGTACACTGAATGGTAGTAAATCTGTACACTGAATGGTAGTAAATCTGTACACTGAATGGTAGTAAATCTGTACATGAATGGTAGTAAATCTGTACACTGAATGGTAGTAAATCTGTACACTGAATGGTAGTAAATCTGTACACTGAATGGTAGTAAATCTGTACACTGAATGGTAGTAAATCTGTACACTGAATGGTAGTAAATCTGTACACTGAATGGTAGTAAATCTGTACACTGAATGGTAGCAAATCTGTACACTGAATGGTAGTAAATCTGTACACTGAATGGTAATAAATCTGTATACTGAATGGTAGTAAATCTGTACACTGAATTGTAACAAATCTGTACACTGAATGGTAGTAAATCTGTACACTGAATGGTAGTAAATCTGTACACTGAATGGTAGTAAATCTGTACACTGAATGGTAGTAAATCTGTACACTGAATGGTAGTAAATCTGTACACTGAATGGTAGTAAATCTGTACACTGAATGGCAGTAAATCTGTCCACTGAATGGTAGTAAATCTGTACACTGAATGGTAGCAAATCTGTACAGTGAAGTCAGTGCCTACTAGAGCAAGAGGCTTGACAGACAGTGCAAAATACCTACAGTGTAAAGCAGCGACGCCATGAGTACAATACGACCATTTGATAAGTGTAAAGGGACCAAGACTCTCCAACACCCTCCCTATACACACACATGCAGATAATTCCAGAGTTTACTGCACCCTCGGCCCGGTCAGGTAATGAGTAAGTCAGGTAATGAGTAAACCAAGTAATGAGTAAGCCAGGTAATAAATCAGGTAATGATTAAGCCAGATAATAAGCCAGGTAATGAGTCAGTAATAAGCCAGGTATTGAATAAGCCAGGTAATGAGCAAGTCAGGTAATGAGTAAGTCAGGCAATGAGCAAGCCAAGTAATGGGTAAACCAGGTAATGAGTAAGCCATAATGGGTCCCAATGAGTCCCAGACCCATTATGGACCTATGGTCCACTAGCAACAACAGTATGGTGGACCAGCAGGTTGTGATGGTCGTGTGGACCTGTGGTCCACTAGCAAGAACAGTCTGGTGGACCAGTTTACGAAATGGACGAAAAAAAAATAACAAATTACATGGAGGGTAGGCCTACTCTTGCAGGGTGATACATAAATCAAGTTAGGCCTACGCCAGGTGGGAAATTTGCACACGGGAACCACCCGAAATGACAGTCAAGACGCTATTTAGGCTTGAATCCCAGTAAGTTTTACACAGGGGGAGGCCTATTACTCAAAGGGAGGCAGATCTGCAACACCAGGTGATTGGTGGTGATGGTTCAAGTGTTGCGACGCTTGAGATACTGGTTTTCATTTAGCGGTTTCCGGTACTTGTGGTGTAGCTGCTGGTATCTCAGCTGACACCCTTCATTTTCCTGGCTTTGTTGAGCTTCCCGGGTTAACACATCAATCTCGCCAGACAGCGTCTTCATCGTGACATCTTTCTTGTCAAGGACATCGTACATCTCATGTATTTCTTTCTGTCTTGCCTCTGCAAGTGCCCAGTACTTTTTAACCCTAGCGGTCAGCTCGCCCGATCTATGTTTGAACACTTCAACAGCATCATTCCATTATTTCTCCAGTGTCTCATGTTCAAACTCTGTTCGCTCTAACTCATGCAGTCGACGTTCCGTATTCTTTAATTTTTCTCTAATTTCTTCTTCTTGGAGAAGCTTCTCCTGTACCGAGGTTTTTAGTGTGTCAGGATAATCAACGAGAGTAGAGGTCATAGTTTGCTCTTCTTCAAGAGCACTGGCAAGCTTGTCGTGGGCTTTATGTTCACCTTTATGTTCCTTCGCTAAGTTGTTATATTTATAAATAGCCTCATTGCGAGGACCGGCCAGAGAGTACAACTCTTTCTCTGATTTCTTAATAACTGACTTAGTGGCGGCGTGTTGATGCTTGAGGTCAGCATGAGTCCCTCGGAGTGTCTCTAATCTGACCATCTTTATCACTGAGCTTATTTTGTAAAGTTTGTACTTGTCCTACCAGGTTATCGTTGTGCAGACGATGTTTCTCCCGCTCCTGCACCAACCTTTTGCCCTTTCTATGTTCATTTTTGTATTTCTTTACTAAAGCCAGTTTGCCCTTCTTTTCCCCTTCATACTGGTCCAGGAGCTCACCATACCTGTCCGTGTGGACCTTTTGTTGCTCTCGAAGTATATCACAATTCTTGATAGCTTCGTCGCGAGCCTTGGCCAAGGTGAGAGTCCTCCTCCTTGTTTCTCTTCATAATGTCCTGGAGACTCATCTTCGTCGCTCAGGGCAGCGTGATCCTGACGGAAAGATTCTAGTCCACGAGCCTTGGCATCAGCCAAAGCTTTGAGCTCCTTTGACTCCCTTACTCATCCCTACACTCCTTCAGCCAGCCCAGACTCCCTTACTCATTCCTACACTCCCTCAGCCAGCCCAGACTCCCTTACTCATCCCTACACTCCTTCAGCCAGCCCAGACTCCCTTACTCATCCCTACACTCCCTCAGCCAGCCCAGACCTCCTCCCTCATCCCAACACTCCCTCACACAGCTGGGTGAAGGAGTGTAGGGATGGTGTTGGGATGAGAGAGGGAGTCTGGGCTGGGTGAAGGAGTGTAGAGATGGTGTTGGGATGAGAGAGGGAGTCTGGGCTGGGTGAAGGAGTGTAGGGATGGTGTTGGGATGAGAGAGGGAGTCTGGGCTGGGTGAAGGAGTGTAGGGATGGTGTTGGGATGGAGAGGGAGTCTGGGCTGGGTGAAGGAGTGAGGGGATGGGTTGGGATGGAGAGGGATCTGGGCTGGGTGAAGGAGTGTAGGGATGGTGTTGGGATGAGAGAGGGAGTCTGGGCTGGGTGAAGGAGTGTAGGGATGGTGTTGGGATGAGAGAGGGAGTCTGGGCTGGGTGAAGGAGTGTAGGGATGGTGTTGGGATGAGAGAGGGAGTCTGGGCTGGGTGAAGGAGTGTAGGGATGGTGTTGGGATGAGAGAGGGAGTCT